AAAAAAAAAAAAAAAAAAAAAATAATATAACAGATAATTACGCAGTTATATACACAAATTTAGGCTTTAATAAACAGTTTATTTATGTAAAGAACAGGAAAAATATAAAAAAAAATTCTTCTATAACCTAAAAAGTAATAAGAACAAATGGCGGGATATAGGTAATGGTTTTAAATCAAAAACATATATTTCCAAATATTGGTTGAGACGTAGAGAAGATATCCTTAAAAAACAATATATATCGGTAAAGGAAATGGAATTTCTGATGGACTAAGTATTAAGTAGAACAGGTTACAATATGTTGAAAAAAAAAATTTTCATTGGTCATTTTTTCAATAAGAAGCATTTTTTTAAAATAAGAAGAAAAAAGGAAGTAATATTTGATCTAGAAGACAATACTGTAACTGAACAGTTAATAAGTACCAGTGAGGATGTTATAATTAACAAAGTAACAGAAGATCTAGAAGCTTTAAAAATCAGCGAACAAGTTAATCTTGCTCTCTGGCAAGAAATACTAGAAAAAATGTTACCAATATCAAAATCAGAATTTCATAGAGGATTGAATAGTGTTAGAAATTTGAATACATTAAATTTATTGTAATGGAGTTAAAAGAAAAAAAAAAGCATATGGTGTTACTCTTAATTATATGATTACTCAGTATTTAATTAGAAGTCGTAAAATTGAAAAGAGATTGTGATATTGAAGAAGGTTAAATATACAATTAGTTATTCTTATTTTGGTTTTTTATTTTCTTTTATGGGATGGCTAATTGTTAAAAAACAAATTATCAAAATGGAAAAAATGAATAATTATTTGTTAATCTCACAACATTCTTTATTTGATAATATTTACATAAGACTATTTAGTTAGAAAAAAAAATATATAGATAGACAATCTACTGAATTTTTACTTTTTTTACATCATTCCATATTTAATTATAGTTAATTTTATTTGAAAAAAAAAATATATAAACTTCCTTTAGGTAGTTTTAACAAATTATTTTTGGTAAAAAAATTGTATTTTTTTATTTTTTCATCATACAGCTTTTATTAATAAAGAAAGAATTATATATGCATGCTATTTATAGCGTGTAAAAAAGATAAAGTTAAAAAGTAAAAAGTGTGATGGAAAGTATATTATAATGAAACAGCTCAGTAAAACTAATTGGAATAAATAGAATGATTTAACATTTCATTGGGGTGTATCATTGGGCAAATTTTTAGGTAGATTTTAACAGTTACCTAAAATTTGGTTGTATCATTGTTTGTAATAGTGATATAATCATCTAGATGACAGGTTGACTTTTTCTTCAAAGGAGTAGTCTTTTTTCATAATGCTTAGTTCTTATATATATTATGTTTTTCTTATTTTTATAAGTTTAGTATATGTAAGTAAGCATAGTTATATTAAAATAAGATCACATTTATATAAATTAATAAAAAAAAAATAAATTATTATCTTATTATCAAATTTATAAATTTTATTATTATTATCCAATTATTTATAAATTCATTTTTATAAAAATATAGGATAAATAATAATTCTATATTTAAATAATTTATTTCATTTTCTATTAAAAAAAATAATATCAAAACTTGATTTTAACTAATTATCTTATAAGAACCTACAAGAAAAATCTTAAAATAATTTTATATAAATATAAATTTAATTTTTTTGGTAGTTTTCTTTTTTTTTATTGTAAAGACTAATTAAATTCTATTACACAAATTTTATTACTGGAAATTAAAAATAATAATAAAAAATTAGTAAATTATTTTATAGTTATATAATACATTTTATTTAAATAAAAAAAAATTATTTTAGTAAATATAGTATTATTGCATTGTAATTTTATTATATAAATTGATATTTTTTCTTAATATACTATAAGTTTATAACTAAGATGAAACAAAACAAAAAAAATGCAATTATTATAATATTTCTTTAACAACAAATTAAATAGCATTACAATTTAATCAACTACTTAATAAAGTATATATAACAGTATAAATTCTTCTGTTTATAAGATATTTATTTAACTTTACAATTATATTTTAAGAAAAAATTTAATAACTAAATGAATTTATAAAAAAAAGGCTTATTTAAATTACAAATTAAGAAACTTATAAAATATTTATTACTCTAATTTATATATATAATTTATTTCTATATAAAGATAAATTAAAATATCATAACTTTTACTTTAATTTATAATTGTCATTAATTGAATATTTGCAATATAAATTATGCTGCAAATTGTTATAATAATAATGATTATAAAAGACTAAAAGCTGATATTTATTATTTAAGAAATAAAATTTTGGAATTTTACAAAAAAAGTCAGAATTTATAATTATTTAATTAATATTCAAATTGTCAAATTGTATTTTATAGTATCTTTTAGAGTGTTTTATCATTTTGTACCTAAATTTGCATGCAATTTTTAAAAATAATATTTAATTATTAAAAAAATAAACTTATTAATAATTGAGGTGGAGTAGTATGAAAATGCCAATTCTGGCTCACCTACTTATCTCATAATCTAAACCGTTTATTAATATTTTCACCTACTTATATGCTACATATTTTATAACCTAAATCACCTTTTTTATATTTTTACCTACTTATCTC